GTCTTGACTCTTTGTCTAATTTGCCAGCCTGTGTCTTTTAATTGGACCATTTAGTCCATTTACATTTAAGGTTAATATTGTTATGTGTGAACTTGATCCTGTGATTATGATATTAGCTGGTTATTTTGCTCCTTAGTTGATGCAGTTTCTTCCTAACATCGATGGACTTTACATTTTGGCATGCTTTTGCAATGGCTGATACCAGTTGTTCCTTTCCATGTTTAGTGCTTCCTTCAGGGTCTCTTGTAGGGCAGGCCTGGTGGTGACAAAATCTCTAAGCATTTGCTTGTCTGTAAAAGATTTTATTTCTCCTTCACTTATGAAACTAGTTTGGCTGGATATGAAATTCTGGGTTTAAAATTCTTTTCTTTAAGAATGTTGAATATTGGCCCCGACTCTCTTCTAGCTTGTAGAGTTTCTGCCGAGAGATCTGCTGTTAGTCTGATGGGCTTCCCTTTGTGTGTAACCCGACCTTTCTCTCTGGCTGCCCTTAACATTTTTTCCTTCATTTCAACTTGAAGGAAATGAAGGAACTTGAAGGAAATGAAGTGCATCTGACAATTATGTGTCTTGGAGTTGCTCTTCTCGAGGAGTATCTTTGTGGCGTTCTCTGTATTTCCTGAATTTGAATGTTGGCCTGCCTTACTAGGTTGGGGAAGTTCTCCTGGATGATATCCTGAAGAGTGTTATCCAACTTGGTTCCATTTTCCCCCTCACTTTCAAGCACACCAATCAGATGTAGATTTGGTCTTTTCACATAATCCCATATTTCTTGGAGGCTTTGTTCATTTCTTTTTCCTCTTTTTTCTCTAGACTTCTCTTCTCACTTAATTTCATTCATTTGATCTTCAATCATTGATACTCTTTATTCCAGTTGATCGAGTCGGTTACTGAAGCTTGTGCATTTGTCATGTAATTCTTGTGTCATGGTTTTCATCTCTCTCAGTTCGTTTATGGCCTTCTCTGCATTGTTTATTCTAGTTATCCATTCTTCCATTCTTTTTTCCAGATTTTTAGTTTCTTTGTGCTGGGTACGTAGTTCCTCCTTTAGCTCTGAGAAGTTTGATCAATCAAAGCCTTCTTCTCTCAACTCGTCAAAGTCATTCTCCGTCCAGCTTTGATCCATTGCTGGTGATGAGCTGCATTCCTTTAGAGGGGGAGATGCACTCTGATTTTTTGAATTTCCAGCCTTTCTGCCTTGCTTTTCCCTCATCTTTGTGGTTTTATCTGCCTTTGGTCTTTGATGATGGTGACGTACTGATGGGGTTTTGGTGTGGGTGTCCTTTCTGTTTGTTAGTTTTCCTTCTAACAGTCAGGACCCTCAGCTGCAGGTCTGCTGGAGTTTGCTTGAGGTCCACTCCAGACGCTGTTTGCCTGAGTATCGGCAGTGGAGGCTGCAGAAGATAGAATATTGCTGAACAGCAAGTGTTGCTGTCTGATTCTTGCTCTGGAAACTTCGTCTCAGAGGTGTGCCCAGCCATGTGAGGTGTGAGGTGTCAGTCTGCACCTAGTGGGGGATGTCTCTCAGTTAAGTTACTCAAGGGTCAGGGATCCACTTGAGCATGCAGTCTGTCCATTCTCAGATCTCAGCCTCTGTGCTGGGAGACCCACTGCTCTCTTCAAAGCTGTCAGACAGGGTCATTTACATCTGCAGAGGTTTCTGCTGCTTTTTGTTTAGCTATGCCCTGTCCCCAGAGGTGGAGTCTACAGAGGCAGGCAGGCCTCCTTGAACTGCGGTGGGCAGTTCGAGATTCCCAGTGGCTTTGTTTACCTACTTAAGCCTCAGCAATGGTGGGCGCCCCTCCCCCAGCCTTGCTGTCACCTTGCAGTTAGATCTCAGACTGCTGTGTTAGCAATGAGGGAGGCTCCGTGGGCGTGGGACCCTCCAGGCCAGGTGTGGGATATAATCTGGTGTGCCGTTTGCTAAGACCCTTGGTAAAGTGCAGTATTAGGGTGGGAGTTACCCGATTTTCCAGGTGTTGTGTGTCTCAGTTTCCCTTGGCTAGGAGAAGGGATTCCCTTCCCCCTTGCACTTCCCAGGTGAGGTGATGCCTCACCCTGCTTCAGCTCTCACTGGTTGGGCTGCACCAACTGACCAGCACTGATTGGCACTCCCCAGTGAGATGAACCCGGTACCTCAGTTGAAAATGCAGAAATCACCCATCTTCTGTGTGGCTCGTGCTAGGAGCTGGAGGCTGGAGCTGTTCCTATTTGGCCATCTTGCTCAGGATCCAACCGATGTTTCTCTTTCATAGATTTCTTTTCTTATTTGTAGATACAATATCTCAGTATCATCCCTTTTCATGAAGAATATTAAGGTGTTTATTTTTAAGGTTTTCTTCTCCTATGTTTTCTCTTATTTCCTTTGAGTTATTTTTTTCTGCGTGTTTTGGTCTCCATTTTTCATGATAAATTACTATTGCTATAGAGTTCTTATCTTCTTTGTTTTTGTTAGATTATGACTTCACAAATATCCTTCATTCATTTCAGTGTGTCTCTGGGTTGTCTGTTTAAAAGTGGACACTAAAAAGTTCATGGCAGGATTTTGTGTGTTATTGGGAATTGTCAACTGTGAACTTCTGTGTACTGCAATTGGCTGAGATGTTTTTATTAGAAATCCTAACATCTGTATCTCTAGGTTTTTCCTCTTGGGCTTCTCATAGGAGGATCTTCTGTTGACTTGTCTTGAGGTTTAAGACCTGTCTGGCAGTATGCTGAGAGTTGTGTCAAGGAAGAGGTCCATGGGTCTCAGCATTGAGTGTAATCCTTATTCAATCTTTGTTTTTAGAAAGATACTCTTTCATTTCACTATACCTGATCCCCTCTGTTTACCTTCTCCTTAGAATAAACCTCTCTGACCAGATGCAGTGGCTCACACCTGTAACCCCAACACTTCAGCAGGCCAATGCAGGAGGATCATTGCTTGAGTCCAGGAGTTTGAGTTTGAGAACAGCCTGGACAACACAGTAAGAGTCTGTCTCTACAAAAAAATAAAAAATTAGATGAGTAAGGTGGCGCATGTCTGTAGTCCTAGCTACCTGGAGGCTGAGGCAGGAAAATCACTTGTATCCAGGAGGTTAAGGCTGCAGTGGGCCATCATCGTGCCACTGCACTCCAGCCTGGGCAACAGAGGGAGACCCTGTCTCAAAAATAAAAAATAAAAAATGAAAAAATAAAGATAATAAACCTGTCATCTCCTGCCAATTCTAGACAGTAGACAGTGTCTGGCAATGGGAAGTTGGGAGGGGATGTGTTATTGATTGAGCTGATTCTTAAACAAATTTCCACTTAACCCTCCATTTTGATACTGTCTTCACTACACGCAAAAATAACTTGAGTCTGTTGGGGGTATTTCAGTAAGCTCCTTTCTCAGATCTACTTGATCAATTGTTTATCGCTTGATAAAATCCTTCTGCATTCTTTTTTGGTTTGTGTGTGTGTGTGTGTGTGTGTGTGTGTGTGTGTGTGTGTGTATTTTAGCTGAAACAACCAAAAATAAATGTGTATGTTCAGTCCCTCGGTACTCTTAAGTCCTTTGTCTTCTAATATCCACACAATGTCCCATATGAACACTGATCAAAGACGTTTGGATCACTTGCCTCAGCTCCTCAACTTGGCTCTAATCCTGTGAGGTTGGTTCTCTTGAGAGTCTGGGTCATCTGCTTTTCCTTGTGAAAGGCAAACTGTGACTATATGATTGACAGCTACATAACAATCATGCAAATGGCAGTTCCCCAAAGAAAGAAATGCAGTGCCAACAAATTGGCAGCAACTGTCCCAGACACAGGGCAGCTTTGTCCTCCAAAAGGTGCTGATCTCGAGGATGCATGGATTATCCTTGGTTGCTTTGTATTCAAAAACTGTTGGCATCATCTCAGAAACACTAGTTATCCAAGCAGAAAGCACCTCCCTTGGTGTTTTTCTCCATTGTAAGCCTCAGCAACATCTGTTCACACTTAGCGCTCCTGAATCCATTTATTAATGCAGATGCCCATTGAAGTGCAAGGACAGCAAAGGCTTCCTGGAGAAATCCCATACCCTGGGGAGGAAAAAGGAAGCCATGACAAGCAGGCTCTCCCAGAACTGTGGGCCTGGGACTTTGGGAGTGCATGTGGCATGGACAGGGCATACACAGTGTCCTTCCTTTATTTGGATGACTAGCAGAAAAGGTGTGACGTTTGTTTTCCTACTTTAACTGCTGAAGTCCTAAAGGAAAGAAATCTAAAGTAGAAAATGTAAATAATCTATATTAGTTGTTTGAATAAATTTTTTTTTTTTTTTAGCTAGAGTCTGGCTCTGTCACCCACGTTGGAGGGCAGTGGTGCGATCTCAGCTCACTGCCACCTCTGCCTCCTGGGTTCAAGCAATTCTCCTGCCTCCTGTCTCAGCCTCCCAAGTAGCTGGGATTACGGGTGTGCACTACCATACCTGGCTAATTTTTGTATGTTTGGTGGAGATAGGGTTTCACCATGTTGGCCAGGCTGGTCTCGAATTCCTGACCTCAGGTGATCCACCCACCTCGGCCTCCCAAGTGCTGGGATTACAGGTGTGAGCCACCGTGCCCAGCTGGGTTGATGTTCTTTATTCCTGTAAGCATTTTGTGTTAGTTTCTGAAACATAATGTCTGGGGCATTCAAAGAAAGAATGTCATCCTTCTTAAAGGTTTAAATTCTAAGCTAAGAAAACCTTTTGTTTCCTTTTGAGACCTCTGGCCACCCATGCCACAATGATGCAGTCTCGAAGACAATGGTTTTGAAGGACATTCTTAATGGCAAACTTTAAATGAAGTCCATCATTGGCAGCTCGATGACAATGCCTATATGTTATGTCCTTTTCCTACTTAACAAGAACAAAAGGCCACAGCCAGAACAATTAGTCATATAGGAGGCATGAGATGACATTTTCACTCCCAAACTTTTCTGGTATAAAAGGGCCACCCAGTGAGGGTCTGACAGTAAGTGTGAGAAAATTGGCAATAAAATCACCTATCTGCACAGATTTTCGGAAGTCCAAAATGATTAGGTAAAAGGCTACGTTTTTCTGCAAAGAAAAATGTTGAATTTTTATATGCTGTTTTACTTATTTTTGCCTACATGAGACTAAATTTTGATTGTGATTTTTTCTACTTTGCAGCTCATTAAAACTCAGTCTCATCCTAGTTCTGTCGCTGTCCACAATGCATGTGTTTTGGTGTTATCCAGTTCTATCTTCTAAGGTAAGGATTTGCCTCCATTTTAGATACTTAAATAGATAACTAGAATGGTAAAGTATGTAAATTCCAAATACTTGCAAGGAACATGTGACAGAAAAGTAATTTCCTTTATTATTAGTGTTCTCAATGGGAAAAAGTCAGCAGATTGATGATGTTAGTAAAAGAAAATATTTGTGTGACAAGTAATACTGGACTATATTCAAATTTTTTTGAATTATTTAGGGTTTGCTCCTGCAAAGGGAAATATTCATTCCAATCTAAAATAATGTGTTTTTTTTGCCAATGGCAATTTATTTATTCCACTTGCATTCATTCATAATCAAAGTGAACACTTAACTGTGGAAACTATATTAAAAATAAAGTGGTCATTTTTCAAAAACAGTTGAATTTTTTTCAGATACAGAATATAGATAAAATCTTAGATCTAAATAAAATATCACATAAAATATTAATTCATATATTTATTGGAGAATATTGATTGAGCTCCTATGTTCATTGAACTGTTCAAGACATTCAGAAAATCAATATCTTTCTTTGGAATATTTAATACTATTTCTACATCATATTTCAGTTGTTTTTATGTCAATATTTTGTTTACAATTTTAAAATACCTTTTGTCATTGACGGCATTTTGAACTTTTTTTCACTAAAAATCTGTCACATTATAATTACTGAAATCAATGTGATTTATGAAACTACTTTTAGGATAAAAGGATGTCACATAAATCCTAAATGATAAAAGTATGTCCAAACATAATGATTTAGTTATTTATATTATTGGCCTTTTCACTAATCTTTGCATCTGTCATTTTTCTATTTCTTGTTTACTTAATATAGCTTCCTTTTTTTGGTTTTACTCCTATGAGCATTCAACACGAATTTAGTCATCAATTCTTTAAGACACCACATTGATCAAGCTGATGAGTCACAATCCATAAATTGGTATATTTTCTCAAGTGTCTTCCTAATTACTTTTTGTTCTTTCCCCAAAGGTTTACTCATGACGTTTCTGTTGAATAACAGACTCTTCTCTGTAGCTTTTTAAAAAGAATTTAAGAATGTACTTTGTTCTAAAATACTTATGAGACTTCCTTGTCCATAAATGAAATGTTTCTCCTTTCGTTGCATTTTCCTTATTTCTATTTTTGCATGTGACAGTTTTGTTCCTGTTATTACCTAGTCCTGTAGTGAGAGTGTGGATGCTATTCATGCTAATTTGATTGCTTAGGGTGAATGATTATGAGGGCAGAAGACGCATAGTCTTTTATAGTATTTGTTGCGAACGTCACTGAGTCCATTAACCAGGCAAATATACAACCCTATTATGTTAATGAGTCCGCCCTGGCAAGGGCTGCCTTCAATGACCAGCAAAGTGCATCAGTGTCTTTTTAGGGATGTTTCAGGAATCTCATAACCAGAACTGATACATTCCTTTTGCAGTATAAAGGTGGCATCATGAGTATTTCTGGAAAGAACTGGCTTGCTTCCCTTCCTGCAATGACTCAGAGGCCCCTCCCTGCTGGGGATTTTAAATAGAAGGCATTCTATCTACCATGTTTAGATTTCCTCCGTTAACACACGGAAAAACACATAGCAGTTGTCCGACTAAGAGTGTTTGATTGGTTTTCTCATGACCAGTATTTTGGAAACTCTCTGACCAAACTCTCTGAGATGAAAAAGGGAGGAAAAAAACCCAATTTCTTTTTTCCCCAGAGGCCAGTGAGAGTGATTTGTCTGGGATGCACTGAATCTTCAGTAAACCACCCACTCGTGGGTGAAGAATTACAGGGAACGTTTTATGCCCTCTGGCCCCATTTCAACTTCCAAATACAGTAACCTGAGACCACACTTGTTTTCCTGCACCTAGATAGAAAAAAAATGTCTGAGTTTTGCATTTTAGTACGTCTCTTTATTGATAATAAAAGCACTCACTTTCCTTTTCCTCTTGTAGTTCTAGTCTAGTTGAGAAACCTAAACTTGGAGTCAGATGCTTTGAAAATAACAGTATCTACTTCACAGAGCTTTGTTCAGGAGTAGGACAAGAGGATGCCCATATCGCAAGCAGCATACAGATCATGGATAAATCTGTGTTTTGCCTTATTGGTGAAATTTGTATTAGCCTCTTATCAGTGTGTTATAATTCTTCTGAAACCATGCACGAGGGAAAACATGACAAGTGTTGATGATTCGTACGCAAACCCTGGGGCAGAGCTACCTCTTGGAATCCCAGCCCTGCGACACAGGGCATGCACCTTTGGTCTTGTACTTAGTTTGTTTTCTGCAAAATATGGGGTTGAACTTCAGGTTCCTGAAGGCCAGTTTGAACTCTAAGATGGCAGATCTATTTCTTCCACCACTAAGTGCCCTACACTCTCCTACACTATCCAGGCCTCGAGCCACTGATGAGGACCTGAACTGAAGTCAGAAGTTGAAGATGCCGTTGTTCAAGTAGGAAGACATCCTTATGGGGAACCTTGGCAAATGGCCCAAGACAGGCCCCAGGAGAAAGGTGGTTCTGATTGACACCTACAGTTTGATCCTCATGGATTGTTTTTCTAAGTCAATTTTAAAAATGATTCCCAGGGCTAATTAGTGCTGCTTGAAATATTCTTTATAAAATAACAGCAACAAGATGACTTATGTGTAGTGCCTGATGTAAATACAGAATAGCAGCAAGTATATAAGCAGTGTAAAAATTAGACAAGTAGGTAGATCACGCCAAATAATATTTTGTATCTAGATAAAGTAGCTTATTGTTTTAGCAAAACTTCTGCCTTTAAGATGATGGATGTATTGGATTTATCGCCATAAGGTTTTGAAAGTTGTTACTGTTGAAATACACTTTTAACCCTAAGGCTGTATTCTCTTTCTCCTCCCCCATCTGAATTGCCAGGTGTCTGGAAAATCTGATTACTTTCTCATTCTGCTGAACAGCTGCCCAACCAGATTGGACAGGAGCAAAGAACTAGATTTTCTAAAGCCAATTTTGGAGAAGATGTTTGTGAAAAGGTCCTTTCGCAATGGAGTTGGCACAGGGATGAAAAATACTTCCTTTCGAAGAGCAAAATCATGACTAAGTGTGCAAAGGACTCCGGGAATTAATCTCAAATTGTAGAGTGTGACTGACATGCTCAAAGTCCATCGTCTCCTTATCATTGAGTGTTGGCATGCTCTTGATTCTCAAATATTTTTCCTCTCCTAACTGGTACAGAGTAAATTGTGTAAAAAAAAAAAAAAAAAGTAAACCTGTCTCAAACTTCCACTTGTGAGAGAAAAAACGATTTATGTGGTCCATTAGTGACTTTTTCCCGAATGAGATGGACACTTTTGCTTTGGTTTTAACTTGGCCAGAATGCATGAGCATGTTGACAGTCATCACAATTGTATGATTTTTTTTCCTGCCTATAATATCATAACATGAATACTGCGATATTTGTTTTTCTTTTTAATACCATTTTCTCAAATGACTTAACAGGCCCAATTCTGCGGGGGCGGGGGGGCGATGTGCTATTTCTGTTTCTAAGGGGCTTGTGAAGTTAACCAACATTAAGGTGAATGGTACAGCTGTATCCATCAATCAATTAATTGAAACCAAGAACAAACATTGCCAGAGCCCTCTAGATGTCATTCTTGTCTCCCTTTTCCTATTCCAAATATACTTAGCTATAGGGTGTTGTTTTGTTGTCTTGTCTTGGAAATTTGTTGCCTTTTAAAATCTTTAAACACAGAAATGCTGCCAGTAACAACAACAACAGAGACTGACAGTGCCCTGTGTTATCGGGGCAGCCGTTTGGAAATCTATTCCCCAAACTGTGCTGATTAACACCCTCTCCTTTCCCCCATTCTTCCAGGAAAGACCCCTGACTTTTTGCATTGAAACTCCTGACACTGCTTTTTAAAAAGGGTAACACGACATTGGTTGACATGTTATTTCAAATGCATAACTTTAATATATATCTGTTCACTCATATTGGATTCTGTAGCACACTAAGGGTGTTCGCTGTAAGCCATGCACAGCTCCTAGACTGGGGGCAGCGGAAGCCTCAGGATGACCTGTCCTTAGTCATCAGCTTTGGATAGAAACACAGTCTTCAGAAAACAGTACTCACAGTGAGCTGGTCTCACGGTAACTAGCTAGGTCCACACAACCAAATCGGTTTCTACACAAAGCAGTCTTTACACTTGCCGTATTGTTGGTGATGTGCCAAGTGCCCACTGAAAGAAACAGAGGCCCCTAAAGGTCTTCTGTGGTTTGTTGCTGACTTCTATGAAAACAAGTGGTTTCACGGTTGTGGGGTGTGCTTATTTTACTCTTATTATACAGATTCGTCCTAAGTATTGGGGAATGAAGTAACACAGATCATGCAAATGCAAGTTATAGGAAGGAGCATTTATTTTAAGGATCAGAGAACTTCAGGGAAACACATTTTGGGAAGCACAGAGGAGCTTGGTAGAAGTAGAAGCCATCAGGCAGCAACCCTGCCCTCCGGGGTCCGTTGCGCCCTTCTAGCTGCGTTTTCTTCCCTGCAAACCGGATGGTCTGCAAGACCTTTGTTTCTGCTGTCCCATAACTTCCATCTGCCTGGGGCTTTGTGTTGCTCTATAGGGCCTCACAACATCAGGCCCAGAACCTCCCCCAGGCCAGCATCTTTGATTTCCCTTTGGGGTTAGGGATCCACTCCTGGTTCTCTCTGCAGAAGCCAGAGATACAGGCAGGGTCATGTGTCTGTGACTGCTGTATGGTCTGTGGTAGGGCAGACCCCTACGAAGGGGTATGAGAGAGCAGGAAGAGGAGGACATTGCTCATTCTGCTGCATCACCCACTGTACCCTCACTGTTCCCTGGATCCAAGGCCACACACGTGGCCTTCCAGTCTGGTCCTTCTTTCAGTGGATGCTTGATGTATAGGAATGCCAGATATACCCTTCAATAATTTTTAAACAGTCTGCTTAAACAAATCCATATTTTCTTTCTAAGATCACCTCCTTCTCCCCATCAGTGTTCCCCTAAAGACACACACATGCACAGGAACACACACCAGAAGGGGCAGCTATGGGCCGAGTTTCTAGATGCAAAGGCATGGCCTTGAGTCTTGATGCAAACGTGGACTGTGGGCATCCGCAAGGACAAACAGGTGGGGATACAGGGTGTGGGTGGCACTGGGAGAGGAAGAGCTAGCTCAGGATGGGTGTCCTCCACCTGCTCCTCTGCTGCTCCCTCATCTGTTCATGGGCCTGGTCCTTTCTCAGTCACTGTCACATTAGCAGTGGCCCTGGCATCTTCCCCTACCAGCAGCCACATGAGAGGTCATACCAGCCCACTGCCATCCCTTCAGTGGCACTGTGGCCCCTGTCTCTGTTCCCAGGGGCAGATGGGAGACTTCTGTGCAAGTGTTGAAATGAGAGATCAGCCCAGCAGTGCTCCAGGTCTTGGTGTAGGATCTGGAGGCATTTCCCTTATCAATTAATGACATCCAGTTGCCTTCCTGCTTGGTGGCCACACAAGTGGCTGAAGTCATTGAGATTTTAAAGAAATATTTGAAATCAGAAACAAGCAAAACCCTTCAAAGTGGATGTACCTTTAATTCTTTTTTAACCCCCAAAAATCAGTCCGTTTCCCACTACTCCCTATGTATGTGGACACAGATGCAGTGAAGTCCTCAGGCAATCCTTGTGTCCTGCCACTATGGCCTCTGCCACTATGTTTTCTGCCATTTACTGCCACTATGGCCTCTGCCTTTGTTCCTATGAGGTGGCTTTAAACATCTAAGCCATCAGCCAGTGGCAGCACCACTCTCCTTACCCTCGGCCCCGAAACTGGAGTTCTCTCGGAGCATCTGCAAATGCGGCAAAGGGCTCTGCAGCACCGTGAGGTTTCAAGGGTAACATGCACAGTGCTTCCAATAAAGTGTGCAAAATATGACAGAAGTTTGTCAGGGAAATTGGCGTTTCTTATCTGCCTAACGTTATTGGCAGGGAAGCTAATTAGATAGGCTGATAGGCGTTATTTACTCCTGTGGAGTAGAACGCGAGTTACTGCATTAATAAGCTCATGGTGACTGTGGTGTCAATGAGGCATCTGGTGTACAGAAAAGATTGTTATTTCAGGAGAATCTTTCTAATTTTCTATTATTTGCATTTATATGGATTGACTGGAATAATAAAACACCAAAAACATAATTGGAAAAATTCACTTCCCACTTCTAGATCTAAGATATCATTTTAACCTCAGGGGGAAAAAGGCCTATGAAAAACTATTTGCACTCCAAAAATCATAGCAGATGAAAAGCTGGTAGGCAAGAGCATTTTCTTTCTGAAGAAAAATTGCACCTCTTGCTAAAGTTTTAGGAATAAAATGTTTAAGAGCAAGGCCTGCTCTCAAGGCTGCATTGGCAGGTAGGAGAGTGGCTTGGGGTGACAGGGGGCAGTGATGAGAGAGGGCCCTGGTGACCCTCTACCCTCCAACACCAAGGTTGCTGCTGGGGGCCTGAATTTCACTTTTAGTTCTGGATGCATCAGGCAAAGCTTTGGAAGCCCTTGGACTGCAAGCATCCCAAGGGATGAATAATCTTTTAGTCAATTTTGGCCAACTCTACCTGAATGTGATTGATCTTCATGTTCTATCTGGAGAGATTTTATTGGAAGGGAAGGAAAAGAACTCATGAGGGCCACGATACCTGGAGAGAGCGAATGCTGGTGTGGAGGAGGAGAGTGCAAAGGGAAGCTTAGGAGGCAAGATACCAAAGGCACCCGGGCCACATGAACTGTACTTGAATCCTGAGGTCCTTGTTCACTCAGTGGTGCCACCTTGCTCAAGCTTCTGGAATCCTTTTGAGCCCAAGTTTCATCATCCATAAAATGGAGCCAGTATTACTTACATTAGAAGATTTTTCATTTATTAATTAATTTATTTGTTTGACAAATATTTATTGAGAACCTTCTGTGTTCTCGGTACTAGGAATGCAGCAGTGAAGAAAATAGAGCCCAATTATTGGGTTGGGATGGGTGATGGAGTTAGAGAAAATAAGTATATATTTAATATATAATCCTATATATGCATGTATATATAAGTGTGTGAATGTACATAGTATTTCGGATGGTGATAAGGAGAAACAGTAAGGAAGGGGGAGCTGGAGTATTGTGAGGTGGAGATGGGGATGCGATTTCTGATTCAGCAGTCAGTTAAGGGATCTCTGAGAATTGTGAGAATCCCAGTTTCCTGGCTTGCAGAGAGCAGGGTGAGGGTGGAGAGAGATGGCACCTTACAGGTAGGAGGGCTTCTGTGTGGCCTTGCAGGACTTTTATTTTTCCTCTGAGTGACAGAGGAAACCACTGGAGGGTTTTTAAGCAAAGAAATGACATCATCGAATGTATTTTTGGTTTTCGTAAATTCCTAAGAGTGAAAAATACGCACCTAGCAGGTTTCAATAAAAGTAGGAGAAATTCGTTGTGTGAATGACATCCGGCAACATGGATTCCCTCCTTCCTTACCTGCTTTGCAATTCTGCCCTGAGAAGTAATTAAGCCGCGATGTGAAGCCCTGGATTGGGCCAGGACCCTGGGACTGGAACGCGGCTGCTCTCCAAGGTGCTGAGGGGATTTGGGGCAGTAGAGCAGATTCCTGGCCCATCGTCTGAAACTGGTCTTGAGGCTAGAATGCCATGCCCCTGGATTATTTTTCATGTGTGAATGAGGAACATTTTGTTCTCACAAGTATCTACTGAGATTGTCATAGAAATATCCCCCATTATTTTTTGGAGGGATGCATGTTGTGATACTGAGTGTCAACTTGATTGGATTGAAGGATACAAAGTATTGACCCTGGGTGTGTCTGTGAGGGTGTTGCCAAAGGAGTTTAACATTTCAGTGGGCTGGCAAAGGCAGGCGCACCCTTAACCTGGGTGGGCACCATCTGGTCAGATGCCAGCACAACTAGAATATAAAGCAGGGAGAAAAATGTGAAGGAGAGACTGGCCTGGCCTCCCAGACTACATCTTTTTCCTGTGCTGGATGCTTCCTGCCCTTGAACATCAGACTCTTCAGTTTCGGGACTTGGACTGGCTCTCTTTACTCCTTAGCTTGTAGAGAGCCTGTTGTGGGACCTTGTTGTCGTGTGAGTTAATACTTAATAAATTCCATACATATATTAGTTCTGTCCCTCTAGAGAACCTTGACTAATACACGTGAGTATGGGTGGAAAG